GTGCACTGCTGACGTCTTTTCAATAGGGGCCAGATTAGCGTGCAGCGGTGCTGTGTGGCTCATCGCTGCGGTGGTGGAGCGCTTTTGTCCCCGGTGCTAATCCGCTCGTTCTCAATACCCCAAACCCTGGTATACGGTTTTAAAACAAGGCTGGATTATCTCCACTTTTCAGAGTGAAAAATGTCGGTAATGCCCAGCAGCCTGGTCTTTTGCTCGGATACGGTCTTTTGTTACAGGGCCCTGTTTCCGTTGTCCGAGTTTGGAGACCCCGGCCACCCATATAAACCATAAGTCTCCGATCCCGGAGTCCCCGGCAGGAAGTAGGTTAAAGGAAGGATAATAAACAGCACTGCAGAAGACAGATTACCCCTGGTAAGTACATGTACAGTATATGAAGTTGGAAACAATTCTATATGACTTTCCTGGACAGAGATTTCTTTGAATTCATGGAACTCTTTGGCATCTCTGGCAATATTGGACATTTTTATTAAAAAGGACATTTTGGGGGGATGGGATGGAGTTAAATTATGGTGAAAGAAGATGAGACAAAAGGTTTTGGTGTGGTCTTAAAATCAAATTAAATGACCGGGAGTAATTCTTCACAATGCCCTCGCACAAAAATAGTGAGCCTCTTTTAAGTTTGGAGGGCAAAATTCTACATGCACTTTGTTGATTGAGGAGGATAAACAGAAAAACTATGTACACTGTTTGAAAGGGTGCCTTGGAAGGGGAGCAGCGCCGACCAAGGCCTCTTCTTATCTTGCTTATGATTGGCCGCCTGGGTGCGTGACCCAAAGGTCACGTGCATATACGGGTGCAGCTCCTTTCCAGGATCTTGCCCAAGGAAACTGTCGCTCATGGAGCGCTGCTGGGCACGCCTGTAGCTGGCGTTGATGATGCGCTGCGCCATGACAGGGTTGCCGTCATCAAACGTATGACTGACTTCCCAAGAACTTAAACGTGTTTCCGCTCCGACCGTCCCACGACTACAAGTTGGCTGTTTTCATATTACAATGTTCGTTGACTTCGTTCCTCGTCACTTCCTGATCTCCTTTTTCCAGCATGGTAATAATATCATTCCAAGTTTTGTCTGCTCAACAGAACCACTTGAGAGAGATTGTAGTTCTAACAAATCAAAAGGTCGTTTCCAGAATGTCTCCGAACTTTGAAGCATACTGTAGTGTGGCGTCAGGAAGGACAAGTTGATGGTGTAGATGGATCAAATCTGTCACAGGCATACTGTGACCTCTGTTGTAGCACAGTATTTATCTCCAGGGCTCCAGTTTGCAAGGACAGATGTGTGTGCTGTTCTGTAGACGTCCTTGCGCTGGTGTGGCAGACATTTTGGTCATGTTCCCCGCATGCATCCAAGAGTGATCAGTGAGCCATGGAATGATCTCATCCAAGGTGCCAGATTACAGTCACCCATGGCCTCATGCCAACTATGCAATGCAGTGGTGTTTATCAAAAGAGATCCGTCTCTTGGCATCTCCTCACTGTAGGTTCCGACAACAAACATTTAAAATCTCCAAACAATGAGAGTCACGTCTGAGGAGCACTGTCTACAGCTTTTGCATTTCCTCGCTGCAAGTTCTGACAAAACACTCTGAATATGTTGAATCTCCAAACTGGTGCCAATAAATACATAGACTGTGATCTCTTCTCGGCAAACAAGCACGGTACCGGGAGGTCTGTTACTGGTAGCTGATTTACACACAAATGCCGAGTCTTCCTGATAGGCGTTCACCAGCACTGGCTAATGATCTCATCAACCAAAACAAGTATGGCGGAAATAGAGGTGGTACTTGACTCAGTCTCAAAACGATATCTGTCAAGTCACAGATTATTTTGGCTTCAGCCACGTGGCTACGGTTTGTTCAACCGCATACCGAGAAAGGACAATCATCGATTGCCGTTCTCACTAACCTGCCCGTGAGCATCACTGACACGCTAATGTAGACAACAGGAAAGATATGGTACGACCGCGGACAAACAAAATTTCAGTTTGCATTAACATTTGCAGACTGGTGGAGCAGGAAATAAAGGCATGTATACATGTCCAGTGTACATCACGTGCACACGTACATGTACCAGTGTGGGGATCCTACTTTCAGTGTCTCTTGTTCCTGTTTATCAGGAGTGCCATATGGTCAAATGAAAAAGTTACCGTTGGGAAAACAGGAAGGATGTATATAGCACATGTAGTCGAATTGTTGGGACCGCACTTCCACAACGCTTCCACAACCTGTGACAAGATCCTGGGGGGGAGGGTTTAGAACGGACAGAAGTGGCTTCAGATGTCTCAGTGTTGGTACACGGAAGAGAATGTTCTTGCGTTTCACCCGTCTGAACGTGCCAATCGAGTTTAGGCACACACAAAGGGGTCGTGCGCGTTCCTGCGTGGACTGGTCAGCAACACGAACGGTGTTCCCCTAATTGCTGATCAGATTTCAACCCCAACTCAGACACCACGAATGCTTGTCCACAAATGAATCGGAATGCCGGTCAGATGTGGAGTGAAACAAATGTAAATTGTCTGCGTCGACAATTTTCATCAACTGTATGTAATCATTGAATTTTAAAAAAAAGTTGCCATCCAATTTTAAACCGACTATGGTACAAGTACATACATGTATCCCTTCCCGGTCTTATCCCAATTGCTGTGCACATGCACATGTTTAATTCCCAACCTGCACAGGACAGTGTCAAATTTCTCAAGGCCGAATCGGAGAATGTTGCTAAATGGAAGCAGTCAATAGAGCTGAGCACACATCAGCTGTGAACGTACAGCTGGTTTCAATAGAGTTGTATGAAATTTCAAGCTACAGCCAAGTAATTCAGACATACATGTAACTTGAGATAGAGAAGTGTACATGTACATGAGTGTATTTAGTGTCCTATCCAACCATCTGTCCGCCTGTCAGAGAGAAAAGGCAAAACAATTTTGACAGGCATGATCTGCTTGCACTAAACACACACACACCCTTTTTATAACAATCTAAAAGAATGGATCATAAATCGTTTAATGTTGAAGCCAAATATTGCTTTGTCTTCCTGCAATACAATAATGTCCAAGTTTAATACAAATTTCCGGTTTCCCAGAACACGGGCCAGAACCAAATGGCAGGCAGGGTAGGGACAAATTAGACACCTGACATGCTCGAAGCACTACCGTAGTCCATTAGGGTATCAACGGGTAAGCTCAGAGTGCATGTACATGTACGACTACCTACCCTACTCCTGGGAGCCTGGAACTTGGATGACGGCCGGAGGGAGTCCTTCTCAAATATCTCCCCATGATCTTGGTCTGTTCCCTGGCCTGCAGAACACAATAACAGTCAAAGAAATTCAGATTAGCGGAGTACAAATAGTCCGAAATAAACAATGTACGCACGTATGCTGCACAAGGGTAATTCCAGAAATTAGGGGTCCCTTTTTTTTCATGTCCCTGTCACAACTTACGTACCGGTACAGTATGATTTTGCAAGTTCGGAACACATTTTCTAATTTCAAAGAGTGATAAATTAATGCAAATTACCTAACAAACAAATAGTAATAGTTTGAAATCAAGTCCAGTGATATTTCCATGTCAAATAACAAAGGTCAGATGTAACAGGGACACAGAAAGTCCCACTTTTGGACCCCCAATTTCTGGAATTACCCACAAGCACGCTGACTTTAAAAGCTATCGGTGTGTTTAGGCTGGAGAGACAATTCATAATTTGCACACGTCCATTTTGCTTTGGGCGAGAAGAAAAACCGGAAAATCTCTAGAGATGAGCTCAAGTTACACACTGACAAAGCTGGCGTTACCGGTACATGGACCATGTAAACAGTGTACATCAGGCATGCAACTTGGACTTAAGCCAAAAAAAAGGAGAAAATTCCAATCTTTACAAGACTTTGTACAGTGTTTTCAATGGCATGTGATTGAAGTGAAAAAAAGAAGAAATCAGCTGATCCCAGGAAAGTTGCATGCCTGATACATGTACCGGTACCGTTCTAGGCAATTTCGCAAAAACATGCTTTAGGACCGGGTTGACTCGGCCGAGATAGTTACTGACCGAGTTGACCGGTACCCGTGAGCAAGAGCGCACCGTTTATGTACATGTATACACAAAATGTGCACATACATGTACATAAAACAAAAACCTAAGTTGCACAGACTGACAAAGCCCAGAAGCAGAATCTTTCCCGAAGAATTGTTTTCTGTACATGTACAAAACGCGGATTCTGCATCTACTGTACCAAAATGTCAGTCACCCATTAAACTTTCTGCCTTTGTGCTTTAAAATTTCAGGTCTCTCAAGTACATAAGCCATTTGCAGCTACTAATTTCTTCAAAGCATGAACAACCAAACCAAGATACAGACAAACAGAAGGAAGGTTTTGCCCTCTGACCACTGCAAGTTTGTCCCTTGATGAGGACTTCAAATACACGTGTTTCAGCATGAAGAACACAAGGTTCATCTCTTGTGCACTATTCCAGAAATGTTATCGACAAAGACTGCTGCCTACTGCTTTCTGGCTACAGAGACCTAAAACACAAACCAAACTAGTTAGAGGGCCTGAATCTTTCTCAAAAGCTCTTTGCTGCATGGAAGTTTTAAATGGAAAGTCGGTGCATTTGTACACTTTCAAGATAGAACCAATGACAAGCTGACCTATGTGGATGTCGCTCTGTTCAGTCCATTTCCACCCTACCTGCATGGCTTTTGGACCGGCCCCGGGGTATCCCCTCAATTTTCAGCCGCTGCATCGTGCGACCTCCCGACCGATGAACAATCCAGCACTCCTGCAAGCCCTCCAAGAGACAGCCGATTAACAAAGCAGGCAGTGAAACAGAGCCGGTTGGAAAAAAATGCTGGCCTACTGACGTAAACTGTGAACGTGAACGGAGAGCAAGTTTTCTGCTGGCAACAAGGCCAGTTAGCTGGTTATGTAAGTTCCTCTTTTAACAGCCGTCAAGCGTGACAAATAAATTCTTGCTGGTTAAGTCGACAGTCGCCTCCATAGAACTTGCAGGTAGGGTGTACAGTGTGTACATACATAAGTACAGTTCTGAGGTGCATGCGGCACCTGTCATGCCTGTACTGTTGAATCATTCAAGAAAGTGGTAACCACTTGAAATTCAAATCCAACTCTTGACTCTCCTCAGCATTTGGGAAATACTGCGACAACAGTTGCAGCTTAAAGTGCAATATTTATGAATGCAAGCGTCTACTGCGAGATAATCCCACTTTGATGAGAAGAAAAATCCCAGAGAGCTGCATCAAAGTCACATAAAATGCTGTCTCCGGCGTATGGTGCTGAACACGGATGCACAAGGAAGATATCTTAAATGTGGCGTAAAGATGACAAATCACTATTACTTCATCTGACAGGCAATGTCCCTGTTGGAAAACTGAGCACATCGAGTTTTACAGTAATTACTGGATACCCGTAAACTGACGGCAGAGAACTGGGTCAGATTAAATGCACCAGTGAGTGGAATGATGAGTGGTCACTCCCTCTGAACCAACTTGAAGTTTGGAAAGCCACCATTCAATCCAAGCCCCACTGTCTCTGGACTCCAAACCACCCGTCGCCACGCATCACCACCGAGTGCTCGGTGCCACTCTAGATCATGCCACTGACATACATTCAAAGCAACAATGAGCACGGCTGGGTTAATTACACGGCAGACCTGAGCGCCGCTCCGTTAGATTCTGCTTGAGATTGCAGATAAACACTGCCTGCTTTCCGCTTCGTCTTTGTCGCAGCATGATCCGTCAGCGACGATACGGACGCACTTCTTCCATATCAATCCTGGATGTCAAATGGATCCCATTACCATTGTGCCTGGTGGTAGGAAAAACAAGGCGGTGGTTTTTTCCCCGCTGCAAACGAGGCAGTGTGTGCAGACGTACCGGTACACATACGGATGTGGCGCCTGTAACTCAAGACGCGGGTAATCTCGTTCGAGTCAGGGGGGCTTTGGCGAAACCAAGATGGAAAAAAAGCGACGTGCGAGACCCACAGATCTCCGGCTTTTCTGCTCCGACCAAAACTGCCTTTAATCATCCAGTGAGTGGGAGGGGAGACGCACCACGCAGTGTGCAAACCCCTCGGGATTCACAGCCAATAAAAAACAAGGTGCATGTACTCACTCCCGTGGAACCCGCACACCGTAGTCTTTCACATGGAAACACTGATTAACAATTTGGAAAAAGCAATTAAAAAAATTGGACCTGAAGAAAAAGATATTCCGTGCATCAGTTCAGCTTACACAGAGCTGACAAGCCACTCATTTTTGATCAAAGGTTTAAGAAATTTATGCACCCTACATGTACCATCACTCATTATCTTCACGTGTCTTGGTTTGGGAACATATGCATATTCATCAAGGTCTAGTCGCCAGCTCTAATGCTGCCAATAAGTAGAATGTACCACACCAGCTACCTGTCATTTGAAAATTACAAATTGCCGGGTCAATCAATTTGATCATACCCGGTATATTATATGTACATGTATGTCCTATATACCGTACATGCATGTAGGATGCCACCGCCGGACAAAAGTGCAAAATCATTCAACCAGCCAGTTTTCCAATCAACTAAAATCCTCCTTCAGTAAAAGATGAGCACAGCACATGTACATGTACAGTATTGCATGTACAAGTACCGGGCATGTATGGGTACCAGCCACACACTGTTTTACACTATAAAGCCTGCATTTCACAAACATACGAATGTACTGGTGCATGTACATGTACGCCCTACAGTACATGCAACTCTTGCTAAGTTGCAGATTGGTGTCACATCTGCAAAGCATGTACGAGGTGAACAGTTTGTCCGGTCAACAAAAACTGCCAAGTGTCCTTCCGCTGAATGATGGAGAACCATGCAGCCACAACAATAATACAGTCCTGAACATCAAGAAAAGAGGCCAACATTACACCACTGGTCACATTTGGATCCCAATCGCTCCTCCCTCAAGGCAAAATTTTGACAAAAGTCCAGCCGGTGTTCCATTTCTTTGCAATTCCTGTTTCTCCCGGGAGTCTCAGAAAAAAAAAAGAAAGAGATGATTGCCCTGAATTAAACTCCTCTGTGGACACATTTGCAGTTTCAGAGGGGAGGCTGACTGGGTCGGCGATACGCCATTATCTGGACAGGTTGATGGAAGGTTGCAGCTTCTATCCAAGTTGAGCCTCCGCGCTCCCACTCCTGAAATCCAACAATCGGCCTGGGTCCAAATTGACAACTTGCTGCCGGCCTTGGAAATGTTCAATCTGATCGGATTTGGCAAGTTAATGACTGCTGCCGCCCGGACATCCTGTCCTACTGAGGTTTGGTGCTCCTTCCTCAACTCTGCGCAAGGATGGCTGTCCGGCCATTGGCTGGCTTGCAAGCTGTGTGGCTGACTCTCTGCCTGGAGGAGAGTTTGCATGCAGTCGGTGGAGTGAGTGGGGCAGGCTAGTGACCACTTGATCCGAAGTATACACTTGTATGCGTGCACACTGCAGTGGCTTGTCTTGTGCGCCGACATTCAACAACCAAGGACTTCAGGAAGAACAAAGTGGGGGGGAGGAGAAAGACGGTGTGCCTCGGGACGGTTCATGAAAAGGTCAGAGCTGGGCAGGTGATCGGGAAGGATTACATGGAAACCTGTAAATTGAGTCTGGCATATTTATGACTTGGCATGTGCATGCAGCGATCACAGAAAGAAAAAAAAAAAATTACGATCAATATTCTTGGGCACCGTCTTTGCAAAGACCTATCCATGTACATGTGCATCTGAGTGCTCAATATTGGACAGTTTTGGACACTTCATGTGGGAAAAGTGGGAGGGACCTTTCATTAAAGTGGGTGCATAAAATGAAAAGTGCATCATTAACCCTAACAGTCCTCAATCCTTCACCTGTTGGAGGACTGAGGACTGTTAGGGTTAATCATTAACCCTAACAGTCCTCAATCCTTCACCTGTTGGAGGACTGAGGACTGTTAGGGTTAATCATTAACCCTAACAGTCCTCAATCCTTCACCTGTTGGAGGACTGAGGACTGTTAGGGTTAATCATTAACCCTCCTACGCAAAGATGCATGCTTCTTGACACAGTAGTTATTTTGACGGCTACAGCAAAACGAGGTTTAATCATTGTGAATGAACGGTACATACACAAATACATGTACATTGCATAGAGCCATGGTTTATTCCCATTTTGTATCGAACTGTGCAACAATTTCACCATTTTGGTTCTGGGCCTTCTCTCCCGTCCCTCTATCCCTACCCCTCACGGGGAAGGTTAGAGCTTAAAAAAGCCTAATGGATTATCACACCACTGCATGTAATGACAGCGTTGCAAAAACAAAGCCGTAACAACAAAACGCAAGGACAGGATTGACAGTGTACATGCGTCCACCAGTTCGTGTCCATGTTTGCATTACATCACTCACATACATACACTACATATAAGTAGTGTTTCCAAATTTCAAATGGGACTTATGGGTAACGGCACCCATCAGATCAAACACACGCCCTTAATTAATTCTGCCCAAATTTATGGCCAAAAAGGGGGCAGAGGGAGATAAAGACTGTTGCTTGCGTACAGGTATCCCACGCTGGGCCTTCAGTGACGTCCACGAAAGCGCCGGTGCACCGGTACAATCCATTTGCCCCGACTCCTGAGGGTGCCAACCCGTCAACGACTCTTTTGAGCCGACATGTGCACTGTACAAACAGCACTCAGCCCTTGGGGCAAAGACCCACTTCAGGAGAGACGTACGTGTACACTTCCGCTTCCTCCTCTCGGCAGGGGATGCAAGTTACCGTACCGGTACTGTGAACGAAGACGAGCGAGTCGGGACGTCGTTAAGAGGGAAGGCATGCGTGCTGGAAAAATGGGACACTGTACACATTATGCTCTTGGGATGATGTCTGCTTCGGCTCTGTTGGACGAGCACTTGGCATGCAATTAAAGCTTGAAACCTTGTCGATGTTAAAACTCAACCATATGGGTACCAGTACGTTTGACTACTATGGCTTCATAGAGCCTGGCAGTTATGTGCTCAACGTGTACATTATGCATGCGCGCTTGTAGCATACCACTTGATCATTTCGCGACCAATGAAAAATTAATTTTTCACATGTATGATTGCGGTACAAGAACAAATGTCAGCCATGGAGTATGAACATCACTGCTCCCAAATCTCCTTTTTCACTACCCCATGGGCCCCAAACTGCTTCGGAAACGAGAGACGAGGTAGACAGCCTGGCCCAGAATCCAGTGTGTGCTAAGACTGTACAGTGCATCTCACAATTTGGTTATGTCCCTTTGTAGGTTAATTTCCTTCCCTCCGGGGATGCTGCCTTTTAATTTTAACTCCCACACGGCAAACATGACACAGACAGGTGAGAGAGCAAATTTACAAAGTCACTTGTGAGGTAAACTGCTGAATAACCCAGCGTCCTCTAACGGGTGCTGTACCTGCTGCCGTGATACAGGTTCACACACAGCAGCCTCTTTGTGAAAATATAAAGGCTGCTGGTGCAGCTTAGAAGCATTAAACGGTAGGGATGGAGAGGGAACAGAAATTTGTCTTGCTTCGTCCAAAAACCCTTGACAAAAAAGCCCTGCTTGAAAAACAAACTCTGTCAATATTTTGATATTTTGATTTTGAGTCCTTCTTTCTTAACCCACTTGACGTTGGATGACGTGAAACCAAGCACAATTTTCCTTATTTGTTCCACGGAGGACGAGCACACTCGTTTAAGGCTTCTTTTTTCATTTCTGGAGTTGACATATTAATGTGTCGTGCTTGGTTGCTTCGTAAATAAATTGTAATCTCGAAGAAATCTGGAAAGAAACCAGCCCCGGGCCGCTTTTTTGGGAAAGAAAATCAAACATAAACTCGTTAAGTTCTGTCAAGGGGGTATCAAACACTTTTTAACCCAAGTACTTTTTTTCATTCAAAACCACATCTGGTTCTTGCTGTCTTCTTCGCTTCTGCCGTCTGATTCATTTTGGTTCCAAATAAAGGCTGCAGGTTTTATTCCTCTATAAATTTGCTTTTGAAAGACTTTGGAAAAACTTCAGAAAACTTTACACGTTGCTGGACAACTTTTTTTCAGAATAATCACTTGATTGGTTTGAGGACTGAAATGCTCTAATCAATTGAGATTTGTACGAGTACAGTACATGTACACATCTGAAATCTCACTATTCCATATTCACGACACTTACTGTAATTAAAGTTTGTCCAAAAATAACCAAATTATCTAGCATTTCAAGAGCCTGACAATATCTTTATTTACAGTTCAGTTCCTGTGTCTCTTTCACACACTTGCTGTATGACTTGGTACCATGGCTACAAGTACTGTACATGTACATTGTACATGTCACAGATACAATCAGTTTTCAGTGTCTGTACGTGCCCATGTGCTGTGCATTTTGACCACAGCTGAGAACAAACAATTCAATGCACAATCTCCATGCACAGGTACTAGTACACTACGCTACACAACCCCTCCCCTCAAAAAGAAAACAGAGAAAGACAAATCGGGACAGGAGAGAATATTTGAAAAAAAACAACAACCTGCAATCTGGCTGTGTACTTTGACCAAGACTGAAATTAATGTCAGATTGATTAGAAATGTACACAAGAGCCTTGGAATAGGGTTTGAAGTGGACCCAAATAGGTAAACGTTGAGCTTGATCTTTGGCAAAGCCAGCTGACCCCGGCAGTAACATGTATTCCGTGTTTCACTGCTGAATACTGATCAAATTACCTCTTTTTTTTTGTAAACATACATGTACATGTATGAGGGAAATTAGAAACATTACCCTTCCCTTTCCCCAACAGAAAAAAAATTACATACATGAACATGTATGTGTATAATGTTGGCACGAGACCGGAATGTTTCTCATTTCAACCTGAGTAACAATGTCACCATGCACAATGCTGGTACATCATGTACATGTACA